AAAAAAAAAGTCTCATCAGAAATGAACACAAAGATATAAAAAGGTCATATATTTGGAGCAAGAATGATTGTACCTTGATTTTATTAGGAGAAATTGGCTTAGCAGATGAACCTCCAAAGCCAAACTTTGGCTTCTTATCAGTAGGCTTTAAGATTTGAAAAGAACACATTAAGGTCTCGTCGACGCTCATCATGGCGCCGGCATTGTTGAATTCTCCACAATAGTTGGGCGCCGAAAATATGGTTACAAGTCTCCTATTAGCAAAGAACTCATATCCATCTTCTACAACCTGCAAATAATAATGTCACATGAATCATTCAGGGAAGACCCTTTAGGCTGTTTAATGCTAACAAATTTTCATGTTATAAAATTTGAACCTGGTGAGCTCGACAAATTAAGTCAAGATCGAGTTTTCTAAGCGAGTCAGCAACTCTGTCAGCGCCGAATGTAAATGACACTCCCCTATCATTCGGGCCCCAACCTTGAATTTCTTTACTAGGATCAGACCAGAGGAGATCAGATAGCAAGCCTTGTTCTGGGACATCGGTTGGTCGTGGAATTGTTCTTATTTGATTCAAGCTGTTCAAATGAGGAGAAAGTCCTCCATGCATACAGAGTATCTTTTCATCAATCAGCGCAGCCACAGGAAGGCAGTTGAAGGAGTCTGTAAATATTCTCCAAAGTCTAACATTAAATCTTCGTTTACACTCGTCGTAGAAGCCATATACGCGGTTTATGGAAGCACATTCATGGTTGCCTCTGAGGAGGAAGAAGTTTTCAGGGTATTTTATTTTGTACGCGAGGAGAAGGCATATTGTTTCGAGGCTTTGCTTTCCGCGATCTACATAATCCCCTAAGAACAAGTAGTTCGAACGAGGTGGTAATCCACCAAACTCAAAAAGCCTTAGAAGATCAGAGTATTGGCCATGAATATCACCTAGATGACATGAAGCATATCTAGAAAAATTATTGTCTTGATAGGGTAAAATGTAAAATAAAAGGTAACAAAATTTAAGGCTTAACATTAAAAGCCAGAGTAAAAGGATTACTATGGACATGATTGTGTGGTAACTTAACATACAAGTAACATCAAAATATTAACTGAGCTTATGATATATATTCTCTCTGCACTCAGACATGAAAATGTAAAATAGACATTTGTGTTTAAGACTGTATGATAAACCTTTCCAAAGGACCAGCATATATACATGTTGCGATGTTTTCCATCCATCAATTTAGAAGAACAACAAGGGCAAAAGGTTAAATTGAGTCGCTCCATAACTCCTCAGTATAATGTATTTCTAACATGTTTTCACTTGAATCAATTGCAATGATTGTAGATTTCATTTTATGTAGAAATTTTGGTGTAAGTCTATGTGAAAACTATGATACACTTCCAACATGAATTATTTAAGACGCAGTATGCAGCCTGAATTTCAGACACGAGATGATGGAAAGAAACAATCTCGTTCTTATTAGGCTGCATATTAGTCCCAGAAAAAGGATAAATTCTCCGAGTGTAATTCAAAATGTACTAAATAAGGTGCAAAAAGATTTGCAAATACTTGGTTTTTCCTAAACACTTATTCATAATACTCCAAAAGGTAACCAGATTTAATGACCATAGTTCTCTAGAAAACTGAATCAACAATTTAAAGCATGTACAATAAATCCACAGCCTAAAACAACACGTTAACTTCAAGCTAAGAAAAACTTATAGTAACACTAAAAACAACACTAATTAACTAGTCTAAACTAGTATAAGAACACAAATTAAAGCATACCCAGAAAAGAATTTTCCAAGTCCAATTAAAAAATCGATAAATTCAATCAAAATAAGAGAAAACAGAACAAAGGGTTGACAGAAAAGTACCACAAATCTTGACCGGTGCTTCAAGCTCCAACAGATTGGGCTGCCTCATGAAAATATCTCTAGAAACATAACAAAGCTGTCTTATCTCTCCCTCTGAAAGCTGAACTAATTTTCCCGGATTGGTCCTAACTTCAAGAAGCCTATTAATTATACTATCAAGAACCGAAGCTTGCATTTTCTTTTCTTTTTTGAGGCTAATTAGTTCTTCTTATTAAAGCTACAAAAGAAAAAAAGGTGAAGAAGAATAAGGAAGAAGACTTATTATCAAGCTTCAAAAAATTTCATGGCTGACAGAGAAGGAGACGGAGAAAGAGAGGAAAAGGAGAGAAAGGATAGAGCTTTAAATCAAATGGGGGAATTCGAATTTGGCATCTTTCTTTGTGAGGCTTTAGGAAAACGGAACTCACAT